GTGCATCGCGCCTACTCCACGGGTAAGCCCAATCGAAAGCTAGCCTGCTGTTTGGCCCCAAAGTGTGTCGCAAGAGCGCTAAAGCTCGAGCAGGCGTGAGAACTCGCCTGCCCTGAGGCCACCGAATGTCACAAGATATGTCGTTCCTCTCTTCCCACGCCAGGCCTGGGTCGGCGACGCAGTACTCCTTCGGGGCGATCTTGGTCCAGTTGCCGTAGGCGGATGAATCGGTCGGCACCTGTCGCCAATGGTTGTCGTCGTCGACATTATTGTTGTTATTGGTGGTGATGGGTTTGGTAATGGCAGTGGAAGCGACGGTGGTGGTGGACTTCGGCGTCGTCGTCATCGTCATGACGGTTTTTGGGTGCAAACGGCAACCAAACAATAAACAGTATCAGGCAAGGACCCAAAAACAAAATACGGGTTCGATGCGCGTAAATTTGCTGTGTTGAATAACGAGCTAATCCAACAGGTCGCTTGACAAACTCACTCACCGTAACGACCTCAACACACCTCACCTGAAAAAAAAATACCCCGAGGAAACGGTGCTTGGTTCTGCAATGTTTCTGTGTACTCTCTAGCACTCGACAGCTAGTCAAATCAAGCGACACCGTCGCTTGCAAGCGAAACCGTCGTTTCGTACATTTTTTGCACCTGTTCGTCTTCCGCAAGCTGTTTCTTCGTGTACACCCAGAGGTCCTGCAGGTAGCCCCCCTCGGGGTACTCGGCGAAGCTGGACCACGAGTTAGCCTCCGAGTTGTCCGTCGCGAAGCCGTGCCAGAGACGGTGGCCCCCGAAGACCATCATTGAAAGGCCGTCGTAGGCCACCGAGAACTTCCAACGCTTGCCCGGGCCCTCTCCTGTGTGGCCGTCAGCTTCGTTTTTTTGGCGTTTGGTGGTTGATGTAGTGTGCCTTTCGAACGTCGTGGTCATTCGGTGTGTGTGTGTGGCGCGTGTGGCGATGTGCTTTCCAATCCAACGGACGACCCGGAAATAGTGGCCTCTCCTCGGTTTCGTATCGAGGAGTCTCTGGAGATACGTGCGTTTCTGTCGTCGTCGTCATCGTCAACGTTATTCTTGTTATGTTCATGTTTCGAAATACAGGTGTGGGTGTACGCCGAAACGGAACTGGCGGTCTAGCGGCACTAAATACCGTCTACCACAGGTGCGAACAGTAAGGTACCCAAACAGAAGCAATGTTGAGGTGTGGCTCGGAGTGGGGGATAACTCTCCCAAATGACCTCTTATCCAATCTTGCAAACAGATGCTGGACGCAGCTTGGCGGCCACATTGCGGGTAAAAATACTGCTCAAATCTCCGCCTCCAGCCAAACGTCTCAACGGATACATATCTATGCCGATCACACAGCTCGGAACACGCCAAACCTTCGGCGAAGTGGCCCAACGGATATATTTCCATCCAAGAGTTGTCCCGCAGGTCGAACGACCAAACGTCGTCGCAGTAGTCCCCGCACCGCTGGCTGTACCCGCCGTAGACGACCATCGTGTTGTCGTCGAACATGGCTGCTCCCTGCCTCCACCGCTCGCTTGGGACCTGTCGCCGTTGGCACAACGTGGGGGGGAAATGATAGGTAAGTTAGTGGAGGTGGAAGACGAGATAGTCCACCTTTTTTGGACGAGCATGGGGGGGGCGGGAGAAAGTACGACCGTAGTCAGCGAGGTCGGGGTCACCGCGGATGTTGAGTTGGCGTCTTGTCGTGTCGCCTGACACGGGGGTTCCATTTTCGGCGGCAAGGCGATTGCTCGGGCGAGCCCCGACGTACGTACATAATGATTGCGCGGAATGCACACAAGAAGGCGAGAGTTGGACCAGAAATGCAGAAAGAGGCCAGAGAAGGAGAGAGGGAGAGGGAGAGAGAGAGACGGAGAGAGCGAGA